TAATAATTTATCCACAGACGAACCCGGTGTGAACCGGGGGGAGCAACCTATAATACAATCGGGGGCTCCTTATATAGGTAGTAAGGCGGAGCTGACCCGTGCACAATCAGAATGTTCAGGAAATATGTGCAAGAAAGAGGATGCCGCAGCTTGACGCGGCCCCTGGAAGATAGGTGCCACTCATTGGTGAGTGATTCGGCACTTAAATATAAGCGATTGGGGAATGTAGCCTATGGGGAATACCCGTAAGCTATTAGGATTATAGAATTGTGAGGTTGATGATACATAAATCATCAACAGGTACGTAAAATGCATGATTTGGAGATTGTGGCTTTTATACGAAAGAACATTGAAGGAATCCAAACAAAACTGCTGCTGAGAAGAGGAAGGAATTCCGCTTAGGACATTTTTTAAACTTCTTAGACTGTTTGTCTATCTTTATTCTGAATGATTTGAGGATTGGACTAAAAACGGCACGATTCGGACCCACCTAAGATAATTATTTGTTTTCAAAGGAAACGGAGCAACAACCATGGACCTATTTTTTTTTGAGACGCAGATTTTCTATAAGTGTACACTGTTATACATGCAGGACCTGGTATATATGGAAATTTCTATTCCGAGTTTTTCTTACACAGACATAAGTTTCAGCCATTTTTAGCGATATGGAAATTTCAGGACAAAGTAATTGCTGAAGTCGTTTCTAGGCGAGAAATGACCCAAAAATAACCCAAAAATAAAAAAGTTCTGAAATAAGCATACCCTGCCGCAGTTGAAAAAAACCGATAAAAATCCATTTTTGCTTTTAGTAACAGTTTGTAACAATTGGGTCCCTCAAAATGCTCAGTAGCAGTAAAAAATGCCAAGCTGCTGTAATTCGCCATGTATTTTTCAGTCATCTAAATAGGTTCTAGAATAAAGCATACTTCAAATTAGAACTTAGTCAAACGTATTGATCCAGCATGAATTCCTTTGTAGATTTCCTATGAAAATATTTTTCTAGAGTATACCTCTGGTATTTGCCCCAAAAACAAATATATCGGGAAATTTCTTTACTCAAAAACCATATCCTTTTCTCGAAGAATCAAACTGATGTAATTGTCCTCGCGCTTGCAAGTGGATCCGTATTCGCTGCAAAAGCGGGCTACCCCTTACAGAACAAAGAAAACTGCATGGTGCGGAGAACTGTACGAACGCACGTGAAGCATACGGGGTCTTTAGCACCCCGCACAGCTTCCTTGTTGGGGTGTTTACACAAGGATCCTATTGTTTTCGTTCTTGCTTACATCAAAGCTGTGGTAAATACACGCAGCGCTAATGCTAAGTATAGTTCTTGCACTGCTTCGATAGAGAAGGAATGGTTCTTGCTAAAAATTTAACTACTAAAAGGAATTTAAATCTCATTCTTACCACTACACGAGTCTACGGTATGGCATATATGTAGTTTCATCCTATGAAGGCGTTGCCCGTTGACGAGAAATCTTGCAACATCCGCTATTGGAAGTTGGAGTTGCAAAGTTTTTTTGCTCGAATCGGATCGGGGCAGAGGCGTTTTCCTCAAAAAGGAAAGGTTCCAAACTCTGTTTGATGGAGCATATCAAATTTGCTGCATGTTTAGAATTGAAAGTAATCACTTTTACTCAGAATAATGTCTCAAAGTCATCTCTAAGCGATGTCTCAGTTCCTATCCAATTTCCTGCTAAGAATCAGAATCCTAGATTATCAGAGAGACATAAGGTACAGTAAACGTAGCGCCGTGGAAGCGTGCTATCCAACTAGTAGGAAACACAGGACCGATTATCAGGTTTATCTACATGGCACATAAAGGGTACATCTGGCATAGCAACATGATATATCGCGATGGTAATCCGTGGCGTAGGTCGGTGGAGGACACAGATGGAGGTCCGCATCAGCGGGAGACGGTGAGTACGGTCGGGTCCTGCCGTCCTGCCAGGGAGGAAGACTCCTTGTGGTGGTGGACTAGTCGACAGGTGGTTGCGGTGGTAGATTATATATTATAGCGTGGAATGCATATCATCCTCATATCTGTAACAATTGATCTTATTCTCATAACATACTCTGTCTTTATCTAAGCTTTATATCTTGTTCTCATGACATAGCTTCTCGCTTGCACATCTTCATGCGCCTACGCTTACAGTACGATAACCGAAAAATCCACTTATTGTGAGATTTCTAGTAAAGTTGTAGATCACCTATAGAATCCACTAAACCCAACGAACTCGCTCCAGCAATCAAGGACTCTAAATGTAGCCTGGATTGTTGAAGAAGGCCGTTCTATTTGATACTGCAAGAAATTCCTTATCTAAACGGTATATGGCTTTTTCGTCACGGTATATGGCTTATCAGCAATTTTTATCTAGCAAAAATCTGGGTTTATAGGAGGCAACCTACAGCGCTCGTAGAATCAATTTCAAGAAATATTCTCCACTGGTTTGAGTGAATTGTGTAAAGATTTGATAAAAATTCATTTCTATCTCATTTCATACAAGCATAATAAGCCCATGTGTTCGGCATATTATAGTTCTGTGAAAAGTTTATTCGATAAATTTCGCCCACTTTTCGATCTTTCGCAGAGATCATCGCATTCGACCTTCACAAGTGGCGCTACCCCGCGATGTTCATTTAAAAAACGAGTTCCTCGTCGTTCCCGATCTTTGGGTCAACGCTCTTTTTCTTCCGCTGCAGGTTACAAAAGGGATTGTTAGAGTATTTGCAGAGATTTCTCTGCCTCTCATATCAACCCTTTGTTGGCTTCAAGTAACACATAGCATGATTTTTTGGAACAGGTAAAAGTTAACGGAGTTTATATACTTTACCTTCATAATAATTTGTTCTTATTCTTTATTCTTTATTCCTTTCTTCAGCGCGACTTGAGTTTTGATCTTTTTTTCAAATTCTAATCTGGTCAATCTAGTTTACTTATTCTGAAGACTTCTGCAGTTCTGGGATTCTCTAGACTACCGCTAATGGATGAAGTGATTTTACATGCCACTGTCACTTACACAATATTATTGGAAAAAATTATAACTCCGCAAGTTCCATGGACATGTCTTAGCATTCAATTGAACATTTATTACAAAAAAAAAATTCTATGGATTCTGCACTTACTATTCTCAATTTCTTTCATTTTTGTAACGAACGACCAATCATCAGATGATCTCCCTGTATATACTCCCAAATTTGTATCAAAATGTTATTCAGCACTATGTGAAGTTGTTTTTGATCTATTTCAGTTTGAGTCCCCTTTACCCCCCCCCCCCCCACTCTCCCTCTCGTCCACTTCTACAAGGCCTAAAATAATAAATCTGCTTAAATCCTTTTTAACGAAAACCTTAGATAGTATGCCTAGACCTCGGCTTTCGAAAATTGATGGCCTGACCCACGGCCGCTCTCGCAATCTTCGTTCGAAATGCAAACATTGCGTCGATCTTTAGTCTAAGCTCCACTCAGTCACACCGATGGTTTATTGAAGCAGCTGACGCCGGCGTAGGTTCCTCTTATCTGGGGCCACCCATATCAACTCACGTGCTAGCGCACGAATCGTGCACGTGCACAGCACGTGCACCTGCGCTGCGTGTGTGGTCACGCCCAGCTCCCCAAAGGATAAGAACCCATTGTGATCTGAGAATCTCTGCAGATGGTTCGCCAGCTTTTTTATGATAAGGTTTTGAACAGTTACTACCTCATTTTTAGTCGAAGTAATGTATGATTCCCTTGTTCCCTGCACGGCTTTACAAAACTTGGTTTTTCAAGAAAGCATTCTTCCCAGAATCACAGATCAAGTGCGTATAAAACTTGAGAATGTTCACTGTCCGTGCGAAATCATTTTATTGCTGAGTTAAGCTCTCAAAATTCGATTTAAAGGGAACCAGTATTCGCTTTAATTCATGTCATTATATAATATTCAAAAATCTATATTTTGATGAAATTTTATTTGAGTTAGAGTTTTTTTATACTATCTAAAAGTGCAAACTCAAGTGCAGAAATTTCTTACTTTTGGCTGCAGTTGCTCTATGATCATGATCTGCCTTAGCCACACTAAGAATTTTCCAATTTATGCTTAAAAAGTCAAAATTTGTGGCGGATAGTCAGCGTCCACGGAAACGTTAAGCAGAATATGTTTCGTTCTAGCAGGGACAAGGAGAGGAATTTCTTTATCGCCCTCATTGCCAATTTCTTAATCATCTGTACTATAACTTTATCTAGTTCTGGATTGAACCATTTGTAACTCCTTTTTTATCGGATTTCTTCTCTAACTACACCCAAAACTTCGGTAATGCTTTTAGAAGATTGACTGAGGAAAATGATGAACAACATTTCCTTCTCATTCGTAGCTTGCACGTTTAGTCCTTTTCTTTACTGTCTAGCATCTAGAACCAGTCTTCAATGGCTATCATTTGTTGCAAAAGATTATGCCAATGCCATGGTTTTGCCTAAGCCAGTTTCTAACGTAGTTTCACACAAACAAGTCGGAGAGATGTGAAGTAGATGCTGAAGCACCCGTTTCCGAGTAATGCCTTACCTTCTGCATTTTCTGACATCAGTTGCGATCAGCAAGCGCAAGTCTCTTTTTTTGATAAACTTTTAAACTAGCAGGTTTGTACTTTACACTGATGAACCTTTGTCAGGAAATACTACCTGCTCCAAAAGAGGGCGTCTGTACCTTTTATTTACCAACCTATGGTTGCCCGTCTTGGGTAAAATATACTTAACAGGCTACGTTTTAATTTGGGACTTATATGAGGGAAATCCTTGTTTTAGAAAAAATCCTTGGTAATCTTCCCATATCTGCAACTCTTCTTTGTCATTCGGTTCTATCAGTCATACTATACAAAACCTCACCATTTTCTGTTCATCAATTATTTCCCATTAATCTTTGCTAATGCGTTTATGTTTTGAATAGCTAGTAATGTTTCTTATTATTCTCTTTGTTGTTTGCGAATATTGTGTTTTTCACTGCCTTCTACCTAATTACAAAATTCAAACTTCTACAGGTAACACAAAAATGGTCGCTAGAATGCTGCGATTTTTCATCTTCATCTTCTATCTGTTCGACACAGTATTTGCGTCTTATGAGAAAAATAACAACGGAAAAGGTAAGATTGCTTACTAAAGTTCTATATCAATTTAAGAAACAGTTCAGCTCTTTTATAGCTGATTTTTGTGCGTTTTAAATTCAACATTTTGTTTCAGATCTGCCAAGAAAGATCAGAGCAGCCAACAGACCTATCGCCATGGAGCAATTTTCCATGCCATCTTAATTTTATGACTTGAATTTCTTCCCGTGCTCATAGATAACCACTTGCTTACAACCTGTTATTACTACATGGTATCTACGGTTTCAGTTATACGTGTATGCAATTTGATAAGCATTGCCTAAAATAAACATTGCCCTGATAAATTTGTCCACATGACTGGCATTCGAACAAAACGTAAATACTCTACACAACACAATGCAAAAAAATGGAAAATTTGCGTTTTGACAAAAGATAACAATTAATGGGCACAGAAAAATCTGCTCATTGCTGTTTGCTATAGTTGTGAATGAAAAAGAAAACTCGGGGTTGTAGTAGCATTTTTATTTAGGTGAACCAGCAAGAGAATTTAGAAGAAATAAAATGTAGTACATACTATTTTTCCTTGTCAAGAGCAGCATATAGAAGAAATTAAGTTTCGTGATTGCAAATCTATCGGTGGAGGACAAGAGGTCGCCAACAGCCTCTACCCTTGCGGACTGCTAGCACGAACTGCAATGAGGAGATGATGTTGCATTTGTTGCAGAAGTCCGCGCGGACCTCCACATTCGGCGAACTGATGTCCTCTACTCCAAACTACACAATAAGAAATCCCGATACTGTAATTCCGACGCGAAGAAGCAGTTCTAAGTGAGGAGACAAAGTTGGTATAAATCTCGGTTTATAGTCCCGCCTACTTGGATAATCTCGCCCACAACTCAGATTGGGAAATTCTATGGAGTGTTGGTTAGACAAAAGTTGGTTCGCTCTACACTTTGGAGAAAAAGTGCTGAGAGCGTCTAAGGTTTCGGATAATATAATAGGATTGAATTCTTTTCTGCAGAGTCGTAGCGGTAGAGAGGAAAAGCTAGTAAGACGGGCCAAGATTTTGTCCGAGAGTGCTTTTAGTGCTACTTATACATAAATCTCACTTCTTAACAGGCAAGCTATTGGGTGTAGGCCCTTCTGAACCTGCCCCAATCGCGACGGCTATAAGAGGTCAGCGCTAATTAGAGGTCACTCCATGATTGGCTAGCTCGCGGGAGCGAGCGGCTGACCTGGGCAGACGCGCTGCGGAGGCGGACGAGTTTCACATCGCTGGTAACCTACTCCACAATGAGATTCTGGAGGTAATTCTCTAGAAGATTCCTAAATTCCCCAAATTCCCTAGAATTCAATAACTTAAGTTATTCGCTCTACTCTACACTACTTAAATCGCCGGCTACTTTCTAAGGTGGTATGTTTTTGACCTATGAAACATTTTCAAGTCTTTTTCGACTTAATTTACTGGTTTTTTTAGTTCGATTGCATGCTCTACTCTCCTACGTTTGCCTCCTTGCAGCATCATCTAGTCACATTCAATTGAAATGTGCACTACGTGCATGCCAGTAGGGAAGCATACGTTTTTTTATGATGAGTTTTTAGTTTTTTTATGAAGTTTTTCTTACACCGTCCATATCAAAAACGCAATCAAATAAAAATGCATCACCTTCATTTGGTAGCGTGATCTAGTAGCGTGATCTACATGGATTGATTTTGGTGGCGACCTTTTCTTTGCTGCACGCATCATGCTTTTTAAAGCGTAAAAATTTCAAATGCACGTTCGAAGATTTTACTAGGAATGAGAATTTTAAGGAGATGATTTTTCTGGAAAGCTACAGAGATGCACTGGAATGTCAGAAAGAAATACGCATTTGATAACGAATTAGCGTAGATCACAAATTTAAGTTATAATTGGCCTTTATAAAAAGTTGTTACACAAACTTTGACTACGTGGGCTTTCCTCAATAACATCAAGCAGCTCACATTAGCAATATGATGTGACGATGCACGAGGCTATAAGGATCGCACACACAAGGGATATAAGTGGAAAAAAAGCGAAAAAAAGTTCGAAAGAATTCAAAGGAGATTCATGAGAAGTTATTTATGAATCATGGAAATGAAAAGACTTCGGAAATGTCCCATAAATCATAAACATACCTGCTTGGAAGTAGGGAAATCATAAACATACTGCTGGGAAGTAGGGCTCAGAATACCAAACATTCAGAGGATGGTAGCTGTGTTGGGTTGAAATCAGCGTGATTGGTTTGCATTGCATAATGCAACAGCCGCACGAAAGGAGTTGGTGATTTTCGAAAATACGAACCCTTCGCGGAGCACTCGTCCGCAGTCATCGCAGCGCATGCGCGCGCGTCCTAGTTCTAGATTACTGTAGGGGAAGGTGGGTTCAGAAGGGCCGTCTCCCAAGCTATTCACTTTCTCAAGTATTTTTATAAGCATCATTATTGCGTCGCACGAGTTGAAGGCAAGCTCTCATCTAGGGCCTCGCGCACAACTGGTCCTCAAACGACATTCAGCAGTATCGCAAAAGAGCCCTCTGTTCGAGGAGATGGCCCAAAATGGCAAAGTCTTCCTCTTCCCCTCAGATTTAAACGAGTAGTCAAGTTTTTATTGCAAGCCATCTATCAGGGGGATTCTAGAACTCCTGTGATTAAATTTACATCGAAGCTTCGCCACTCACTTGTCAGTGAAAACAATATTATAGCACATCCTCACAGAATGATGCAGATGAGATTGTTCTAAACATCATTTTTGCCAAGTGATTTGTCGGAAAACATCTTAGCTACCAAGGGTGGGGAACCGAGAAGTCTTACGGCGTAGATGGTATGAAGTTCATCAACAGCAAGCATTTGCTGAGTCCAAGGAACCCGTCATACCTCGCCGAAAAGGCCCAAAAGCGCCCAAAAAAGCCCAAAACCAGAAAGAGGCGGAACGCCCCTGGAACTTTCGGTAGAATTCTGACATCATTTTGATGCGCAGACGACAGAAAATGAAGCAGAATGACTCGGTTGCGAAATTCAACACATATGCCACAGCGACAAAACTTGTTAGCAAGGGCGCGCCTTTTGCGGCTCCTTTGGGTTTTTGGGCATTTTCGGGCACTTTTAGGCACTTTTGAGCGCGTTTAGGCTTTTCTCTGCGCTTTTGGGCTTTTTTTGGCGAAGTATGACGAGTCCCTAAGCTCGTACGAGCATTATAGGGTATTTAGTAGCTTTCTGCTATATATTGTAACTAGCTGGCTTGCCCGGCTCCGCCGGGCCTGCCAGCTAGACCCGTGTACGTATGTTCCAAATAGAAAATTCCATTTCTGAACCGATCCGGACCAAACTTTGCACACATACACTTCGGGCCCCGGCGGGTGTCACAGTCCACTTTTCGTTATCGATCGATGTCGATTATACCGATTTTTATCGATCTTTTTTGCAGAGTTCACCTACAGGGCTAGGAGTTGGCACAGGGGGGAAGTGAGCATGGGGATTCCGAACACAATATTAGTTTTCAGAATTATCGATTACTTTTATTGATTTTATCGATTTTTTTGTAAATTTTGACCTGCGGGGCTGGGAGTTTGCACAGGGGGGTAATCGAGCATGCTGATTACGAACACAATATTAGTTTTCAGGATCGTCCATTACTTTTATCGATTTTATCGATTTTTTTTGTAAAGTTTGACCTGCGGGGCTGGGAGTTTGCACAGGGGAGTAATCGAGCATGCAGATTACGAATACAATATTAGTTTTCAAGATCGTCCATTACTTTTATCGATTTTATCGATTTTTTGAAAATTTGAGCTAGGGGGCTGGAATTTGGCACAGGGGTGTAATCGAGCATGCTGATCACCCCCCTTGGGGATGATCAGCATGCTCGATTACCCCCCTGCGCCAACTCCCAGCCCCCTAGCTCAAACTTTGCAAAAAAATCGATAAAATCGATAAAAGTAACCGATAATCCCGAAAACCAATATTGTATTCGGAATCCCCATGCTCGACTACCCCCCTGTGCGAACTCTCAGCCCCGTAGCTCAAACTTTGCAAAAAAATCGATAAAATCGATAAAAGTAATCGATAATCCTGAAAACCAATATTGTATTCGGAATCCCCATGCTCGATTACCCCCCTGTGCCAACTCCCAGCCCCGTAGGTGAACTCAGCAAAAAAATCGATAAAAATCGATAAAATCGATATCGATCGATGACGAAAAGTAGCCTATGACACTCGCCGGGGCCCAAAGTGTATGTGTGCCAAGTTTGGTCCCGATCGGTTCAGAAATGGAATTTTCTATTCGGAACATACGTACATACAGACATACAGACAGACATACAGACAGACATACAGACATACAAACAGACATTCAGCTTTATATATAAGATTATAATTATTTGGCAATCACTCAAAGTTTTGATTTGAGTTTTGATGCTGGTCAAGAGGACTTGATCAGAAAACCAGAAATGAGGTTATGGAGTTTATAGGTTGCGTGGAACCAGTTAAGTGTTTCTGGTTCATTTTCATATTTGAAATTTTATTCAGTGAGAACAAACCCATAAAACAATAGAAATTTGAAAATATCTCAATCTTATGCTTTCAAGATCTTCTTCTTATTGAGAGCCTTTTGCAATCGGGCTTTCTTTGCGGCTAGTTTCTTGCTTAATCGCAATGGTGCTACAGCTACGGCTGGAGCTACGGCTGGAGCGACGGCTGGAGCTACGGCAGGAGCTACGACTGGAGCCACCGCTGGTGCCACGACTGGAGCCACCGCTGGTGCCACTACTGGTGCCACTGCTGGTGCCACTGCTGGTGCCACTACTGGTACATGGCCAAGTTTAAGTGGCACATGTTCAGAGATCATATGTGTCGCTGATGAGTGGCCGGATTCTGCAAATGAAAAATTCAATGGTTGTTATTAGAATGGTCAAAAAGTACGTTTAGTGTAGGCCTTGACCACATTTTTGACAGACGTACGGGGATAGTAGTAGGGGTAGGCCTGGAAAATTTGTTGAATTGAAGATGTTTGGTATGTTGTCAAGTTATCGTGCTAGGACTAACCGCTGTATAACTGAACAAGTGTGGAGGATAGAACTGAGAAGGTAGAACGGCCGCTGGAGCTGCTGCCACTGCCGGCATCGCTGCAACAGCTGGAGCAGGAGCGACTACTGGAGCTGCTGCCACTGCCGGCATCGCTGCAACAGCTGGAGCAGGAGCGACTACTGGAGCTGCAGCCACCGCTGGTGCCACTGCTGCGGGTACTGCTGCCACAGCTGAAGCCACATGTGCTACCGGAGCCGAAGCCAGCACTGGAGCTGGTGCTACAGCCGGTACGGCTGCCACGGCTGGAGCTGCAGCCACAGCTGGTGCCACCGCTGCTGGTACTGCTGCTACGGCTGGCGCTACCGGTGCTACCGCAGCTGGAGCTGCCGCTGGTACTGCTGCTACGGCCGGCGCTACCGGTGCTACCGCAGCTGGAGCTGCCGCTGGTACTGCTGCTACGGCCGGTGCTATCGCAGCTGGAGCTGCCGCTGGTACTGCTGCCACCGCTGGAGCGTCCGGAGCCACCGCTGAAGTTGCCGCAGCTATCGCTGCCGAACCCACTGCTGGAGCTGGTGCCACTGCCGGTATCGCTTCCACTGCTGCAGCAGGCGCTGGAGCGACTACTGGGGCTCCGACTTCTTCTACCGCTGAAGGAGAAACTACAGCAGCAGCAGGGGCTGGATGGACATCTATCACAGGTTCAGCTTCAACTGCCAAAGCTGGTTCAGGACCTACAGCATAGCCAGCGTAAGACCTGCAAAATTTCAAGAATTCATTTGTGAACGCGCAATATGGAAGAAAATGTCAGTAGCTCAATCTAAGAACTCTCGGTATTATTACGCTTAATGAATTACCCCAGCCAAACCTGAGAGTTTTCGAAACTAAGCAGTTCTTACAAGCACTTACCTCTGAATAAGCAGTAGAACTACGAAAGTGCAGTAGAAAGCGTTCATTGCGAAGCTGCAAATCTGATGTCTCGCTCCCTTCGCTCACTTATATAGTGTTCAAGCACTGACAGGTGATGTTTTTCACAATCAAAGAAACTATGTGTGAACTCATTGTAAGTTCATGGTAAGTGGCTTTTTTGGTGGATGTAAGCGCATAGCGCGCTTGAATGTTGAACTTGAGTTTTTTTGCTGTCTAGAGTGATGAATGAATTGATTTGACTCCTATTCCAACTCGTTGTTTGACAGCTTTTCTATGTTCATTACCGAACGTGCAGAACATGGTTGATATGCTCATGCAGCAGATTGGAGCTAGAGATGGAGAACTGCAATAGCCATTGGTGACTGATATGTGAGTATGGACATTCATTGTGAGACACATTTCATAATCCAAATCCAGCAACTTGTCCCTGACCATAGGTTGGTGGAATGAGATAGGAATGTTTTTTTAGGCAAACAGCTCATTCTTGCCAAATTTTGGAAGTTGTACCATTTTCTGTAAAATTTATTAAAGTTGACAGATAAGTTCAATTTTAATGTTGGCATTCGTGTTTAAGCCGTAGAGACATTTTATGGTAGCATTTTAAACTACTGAGAACCGAACAACTTTACTCACTCTTACGGAAAAGAATCCAGCTCAGTCTAGAATCTTTTCGTTTTTGAATATCATTGGTTGTAACTCTTAAGACCTTTTGAACTCATCTGTCAAAAAATAATGTTTACCAGTGCAAATTCATGATTTTGCGGCAATATTACCTTCGAACTTTTCATCAAAGCGGAAATAATAGCAATAAAATTAATAATATTTTTCATTATTACTAATTTTCATTTGTTCTTGACAAACTGTTCCCTCACTCTACGCAAGGGCAATGCAAGTTTCAAGAATTACGGCAAATACAGGCCAAAAATCAAAAAAAAGCGCGAGAGTGTTGAAGAACATAATTATTCAGAAACATACGCTCTCATGGCAAAGTTAGAGGTCACGTGTGTTGTTCCACTCGAAAAAAATTCACTCAGTGCTTCATCCTTTCTAGCAACAAAATGGAGCTTTGAATCGTGCGCGAAAAGACTTCTGTTCGATAAAATTATCTTCTCCTCCTCATAATGGTAACAATTGTATCTTCTGGTCTTTTAGTGAAGATCATTCAATTCACTCTAATCAGAGATGGCATTGCGTCGTATAAGCCAATGACTACATCTTCAAACCTTTTCTAAAGAAAATACGTAAGTTTATGCGCAATTTCACTTTCTTCTTCTCCATTCCGAATGTCAAGATTCAAGTGATATGTCGTTTTTTTTGCCCGAGAACTTCCACTGATCTAGACTCTAGGAAGTACTATGTACGTAAAATCCGTCTAATGCACAATACAAGTATCAGATATCATCTAGTACACGCAGTTTTTCTATTAGTTTTACGAGTGACTCACATGAGTGAAACGGGATTTCTGGTGGCACAGGATAAGCTCTCAAACAGTCGGGTGCCGATTGCCAAGAGCAACCTGTCATAGCATCAGCAAACACTCGCCGAACTATAAATTCATTTTCTTGATTTTTGACTTCAGTCATGCTTGCGCTAGTTACGGTAGCCGTTCTCAGCACAGGTTGGTGGCAAAATTACAATTTCATGCTTGTATCCTGTATCGTATTTTATTTTCAGTAATTAATGAGTGGTGGAACGAGGCAGTCGCGAAATATTCACTACTTAAATTATTGTAAAAAATGTGCAAGTGACTTGTTTGAAAATCTTGGGAAGCATTCCAAGAAATTTTTCGGCGTGGCTAACGCCACAAGCTTCATTTGAAAAAATCTAATGTCGCTCCCCCCCCCCCCCTTCCATCCCTCCCAGAAAGAATTCTGAGACCTTTACTGTAAATGTGAATGAATCTAGGTGTAATTTGTAGCATCATTTTTGATTTTGTATGAGCTCCAGCTACTTCAAATATTGCTCAGTAACCTCCAGAGGAGTTTGATATAAAATTACGTAATATTACCGTAAAAGCCCATTTATAGTGCTCCAGAAACTTTTGAATGTGGTACCATTACATGAAAAACCACATCACCAATGCATCAGCTTTGAATGGAGCCCAAAGCTCTAGATTTTACGAGAAATGTTTATTACGATATTTATCACTACGGTAGAAACAGATTTGCCCTTGTATTAAATCTAGAAAACGCTCAAGAATCTTTTGCATGTTTATCATTGAAACAAATTGACCGATGTTCAGCTTCAAATGGTGCAAACTTCTTATACAGAAAAAAATTACGGAATCATAACGAAAGAAACTCACTTGCCAATGTATCAACTCAGAACCGTATTCAAGAACCTTTTATGCGGTAATGTAAAAACTGTAAACGATAGATCCTTGCCGTATCAGCTCTGGATACATTGGCAAGGATGCGCTTGATGCCAAAACATTTTCAAAAATTAATGAGAAAAATGAGGACTACAATACTGTAATGGTAGAGCAGCTTATTTGCCAAGGCATCATTTCTAAATGGCTTTCAAACATCTTAAGAGAATTTTATGAGAAAAAGAAAATATTGGGGTGCGATATCATTACAGCAACTTTGTTTATGCATCACCTGCAAATACAATAGATTCAAGAATCTTTTAGGAACTTAAAGTTTTAAGGGCATGGTATCACTACGTAAAGACTTAATTGCGAAAATAATTGACTCATTATCACCTAGGAATTCAAAGAAAAGTAAAAGTCAAACTTTATCTCTATATTTCGTGTATGCTACCCGAGGCCCTTTCTTTGTTTTGCTTCACTACCACTGCCATTTTTATGAGAAATGTCTACTCACTTCATTTTCTTTTCCTCTAAACGTTTTTTTTTCGTGATTCACTTGGGAAATAATACATGATCCACTGATTTCTTCCTTATTTTACGAAAGCAGTCGAACGACCAAAACTATGCTCTAGAGTTTTTTAGACTCTCCTTTTCCATACAGTCATTGGTGATACAGTGATAATTATCATTTTCAGCTGCATTGGCCCAGATAGTGGGTAGTGGAGTGCAAGCCACAGGATGTACAACTTGTACATTACCACCAGCCACCAATCCCTGTAGTACCTGCCAGACAACAGTTCAGTCAGCACCTCCAATCACCTTCTACACTCCAACGCTAGCTCCAGCTCTATGGAACGAGTGGGGACCATTCACACAGTGCACGTAAGTCTCAAAGGCCTAATTCTTGCGTTTACCAAAATTCGATAATTTTTCTTGAGGGTGACCTGTGGCGGTGGTACACAGCGACGTCTACGAGATTGCAACAATGGCTGTAGTAATTGTATGTGTGTTGGACCAGCCACTGACGTCCAAGCTTGCAATACTTTCGCGTGTCCCGCTGGATGCTCTACCTGCCAGCAATTCCCACATTACGATCCGATTACGTATCCACCATGTACCACTTGCGGAAGTCCTGCAGTGGCGCCCTGTAGCACCTGCGGAAGTCCTGCAGCTGCGGCGCCGTGCAGCACGTGCGGCACGGCAGCTTCCCCATACATCTATCAGAGATCACCATGCTCTAATTGTGGCACTAACTACTATAACCCGTACAGAACTTTACGAAGAAAGAGGACAAGCGGCAATGTGAGGAAAGTAACGTTGTTCGATATGCTGTTGAAAAGATAAATAATAAATCTGTTTGGGTACTGAAATAAAGAAAATTTTTTAAATTTTAATTTAATTATGAGTTTCGGAATTTTATGAGCGGAAGGGGGTGGAAAAACGAGCGTGGACGAGAGCAAAAGTGTTTCACATGTGCAAGTACATAGTTGTTTTTGCTAATTTATGGGATAATATCGAAGTGCTCCAAAAAATTCCGTTCCGCAAAGTAATCCAGGATAAATCCATTCCGCAAACGGAACTATCCAGACCTCTGACTGACCTTGAGCTTAGCTATCATACACAAACTACATATTCTCTGTTTTGCTTCGCATTTTAAACATGTCTCGGAGAAGGCGCCAGCCTCTTTGGGAAATTTACCAGAAATCCACTTGATAACCACTTTTTCTCTACATCAGGTTTTTCTGTTATACCTTGCATCACTGCACGGAGAGCACTGCCATTGTCATCAAAGAAGACCGGATAAACCGATTTTTTGTCCATAGCGCAAACATGGGACCACTGAAGGAGTTTTTGAATGACTAAGTTACGCTGGCGTATCACCGCTCTCTTTGATCTGGCATAGACCTTCGTAACCTAGCCAAATGTCCCACGATGAGTTAAATGAGTGATTGTTCATATTGAATATATATAGTGCCAAAAGGTGATTGCGAACTTAGGTCTGCATAAAAGCTTTTAGACAAAGCAGGTGCAGTTTGATTTCATGCCCGTAGGTACAAAATAATATGGTACATACCTAGTAGAACGTGTCCACAGGGCTCGGCACAGATGCTTATAAGCAAGCTGGATAACGTTTTTGGGACAAAAAGCAAAGGGGGTTTCGTTTTTGTGGCCGAAAAGACACAAAATAATTTTTGGGGTTGACTTTTCGATTTTTTGCAGATTTTCCAGGATTATGGTTTAGGGTCAAAGAACTTCGTAATATTTTGAAAAAGTCAAGGGGAACTTCGTTTTTTGCACTCGGAAAGCCACCTCGTGCAGAGCCTTGCATGCCCACCTTCGCTCCTCAAAGTGTTCGAAGAGTAGAAAGAATAGGATTCTCGTCGAAGTTTTAAAACTCGTCCCGTTTTTCATGTCTGCCGTTTGTAAGCTGATGGAATCTGGTAAGCCAAAGAGCCAAAGAAAGATGCTGAAAGGTCGTTAATTAAAAGTGGAGACATTTACGCATCTAAGCAATGCAAGTTAACTATATTCTACCAAATTTTTCCCATAAAATTTATGAAGAGACAATTTTGAGATACGAAAAATATATGGACATTGCTCATATCAACACTAGGTTAGTCCTTCTAGAAATTATTGCAACTGGAATATAAAGCTTTATATTATGTCCCCCATATGGAATGTTTCCCAAAAATTGCTCATGCATGTTTGCTAGTGTTTCGAAACCAGTGCCCTTTTATTGAAAACAGTCGAGAAGCACGTGAACGAGCCTTGCGTAACCAGTATCACCGATTGTCGATCGGAATTGATTGCTGCAAAAAAATGTTAATATCTTCTTCCAAGCGAAGAGAGCTCTATCAGACAGATCTGATCTTTTCACAAAGTTAATGTTAGTGCCGAATTTCTATCCGATTTTTTAGCGGGAGATTTTCGTGCATGTTTTTCTTTGAATTGAATCTCCAAGCGCCATGCCGCTGAAACCACCATTTCTTTACCTTTGTCTGCTCCTTCTTTCTTGTTTCGTAGAAACCCGAAGCAAGTGGATGGATGAAAAACATCAATCGAAGAATTTTTTAGTCTCAAAGTTAATGGCATTCGCAACGGAGACAGGGTAAAAATGTTGGCTACGTTGTGCACTTTGGGGATAAAGTTTCGGAAGCATGGCGATAATCAAACGCGAATTCGCAATATGTGCAAGATAATCTTGAAGGTGTCTGAATGCTCTGCTTTTCACATATCAGAATTTATCAGAATAGGTCCTGAAAGTGTAAGAGTAGCTGTATGCACTTTGATAGCCCACAGAGAGAAACTCAAAAGTGATGGTTAAGAAAACCTTCTTTGCTATGAGAAAAGTCTTTCAGAGAGAGATTCTTTTCCACAGCAAGCTGGTGTAATCAAGAAAAAATTTTAGGGATAAACTATCGTTTTGAACGCAAATACAACATAGGTACGCGAGCATGCGATAAAACTATGCGAAATCATCAAATGTCTCAAAGAAGAAAATTGTACTGCTTGGAGTTTACTGACGTCACAAGGAAGATGAACTTGTCGAGATATTTAGTTACGGCACCTATCAAATCCATGAAAAAAAAGAAACTGAATCGACACGGAAAGCAATTTAGTTCGGCCTTTCAGAAAGCGACAAAATTCGTCAGCTGGGCCCTGATTTTGAATATGTTATACAGCTAAACTAGCGACCCTACGGGTCGCTATCAAGTGGATCGAGGCAGATGCAGTACTAGGTTTAGTTGTGGCTAAACATATCTCTACATATTAGGTTGCTGCATAAGTTCTATCCGATTTTTTCTGCCTTATGTTTGAAGCAGCTGTTCTAAGAGAATTTCATCTCTAATGCGGTACCGTTAGTATCATTAGAAAGTGCTTTTCTTGCGCTTTTTAAAGCTTATCAAATTTCAATAAATTTCTTAGTGTAAGGAGATTTCAGGCCTAAAATATTTAAGTGGTCGAGGTACGTTCTCACCCTAGAAATATGTTCTTGCGAGGAAATCTCCACAATGCGGTCAAGTTTTTCAATTGGTTCCGGAGTAAGGGTGTAACAGGCTAGCATACGCATAAGTTCATTTTTATGAAGAAAACGTCTTGCTAGTAAGATTTATTGTCAAACATTAATTTTCTGTATAGATGTTTTACAAGCAATAACTTTCTGCGAATAGAAGTAATCGACGATTTCAAATGGAGATGCTAGGGTAAAGCAAGGGCTAGCGGACCCATCCACCAATTCCTTTTCGGCGCTCACGTCAATTGTAAAATTTTCATAATCTGGAAATAGACAGGCACACATACACTGAAGTGAGTCAAAAAGTGCCTCCTTTTTTTGCTCTGTCAAAAAAATCTCTCGGCAACGCAGACCCTATGGGCCCTTTTATGTCGCAAAATAATCCACGAAAATTTCTCTATCCATCCATTATTAGATAACATGCCTATCAATTCTCATAAGGGAGCATTGCCATGTCAAAAAAAAACAGGTTCGAAGAAAAACGCTGTGAAGTTTTTGAGTTCTTGCTTCTTCCTTAACAAGGATTTTCGTAGGTTTCAATATGCACCTGATAGCCAAGAAATTGCTTAACACAAAGAAACTAAGATCTTAGGAAAAAATTGACTTTGAAGAGAGTTATGACATTTTGAACTCAAAAAATTCAAATCGGACAAAACTTATCCAGCAACCTAATAAATTTCCTGTTCCTTTCTGAGACCATTTTTGTGAAAAAGCATTTTAAAAGGAGAACTGCTTGAGGAACCGCAAAATTCACACATTCAGCAATTTTTGAAAGCCCTGCCATGACCATGCGAGATTATGGAAGATTTCAATTAGCACGCTTCCCCCCCTAGCCTTCCACGGACACTCTTTCGGATAACAAAAAGACTCCACCGTACCTATCCTCTCGAAAACTTTGCTTCATCCAGTTACTCTCAACAAATTCCATGAAAGATCGTTAGGAAATTTATAGAATATACATCATTTTGAAAATAGAAAGACATCCATAACAATGATGTATACTACAAACAACATAGCTTTTCTCTAATCTTTGACAGTGTCTCAAAACTTGTCAAAAAGTCCTCCAAGTTAGGATTTCGTCAAGTTGAGTTACTACGAAAAGAGAGCCCACCCCCAAAAACCATGACTGCTGAATTCTCTTGCACTACATTATCACGATGTTGGCGAAGTCTAGGCAAATGTAACCGATTGATGTTTTTTTGAGCGACAAAATTTTCGGTAACGAACGCTCTACGTCCCACTTTGAAGGCATCTTCCCAAAAAGTCATGGGTGTTGGGATTTTACAGTGTTGCAACAGTAGACCTTCCAAGTAATCTATCAATGAAGTTTGGAGCGAAAAAGCGCTTTGGAAGGCCTGAAATCCCCTTCAGAAGTCTACCAGACATTTACTCGTAGTTCTGAGCGAACGCGGATTTAGGGAGCTTCGAAAAGAGCTCATTTTAGTCATTTTCGTGCGCTGCAACCCAGATATGGTTTCACTATGATGAAAAGGCTCCGAAAGGGTGAAAAACCGAGAAGCGAAATTTGCCGTGTTCCACAGATCTGCAGGAGCCAAGTGGAACAAGAAATCGTTGTATGTTACGTAGTGATAGCTGCGAACCGTTACAGGTTGTGAGCTTTTTTCTGAGCGAAATTTGCTCGACTTATTGACAGGGTCCGGCACAGGGTCAAGTTAGATATAGTTTCTGTAGGAAAAAGCAAAGCGGTATCGTTGCGAATTCTGCAGCGAAAATCCGCAACCGGCATTCTCCATCCTAAATAAACAAGCGTTGTTTACGACCAAATCGCGATATTATGACACCAAATTTGATGTGCGCAGGCGGTGAGGGGGCTCAAACTATGGCCCAAATATCTGTAAAAAATTATGTGGATGAAAGCCGTGCTGAACTTTTTCCTAATTATCCAGAACCGTCCTTCCAGCTGAGCTGGAAACAACGCTTTGCTCACATTTTCATAATTTTTTGCATGTATTGTAGCTTCAGCG